GGCCAGAGCATTTAGCTTCAGGGGAATATGTTTCCATCCACATTGGTACCGAAAGACCATGTCTGCTTTCAAAAGATGTTTTGAAAGGTGGTTTTTATTTTGGTCATCTTTGGATATATCACAAAACAATCAATTGAAAGTAACTACTTTTCCATATCCACATAGTAAACTATTTCCAAGGTAGCTTGCCAAATATTCAAAACAAAATGTTATTGTCAAGATGATTCTGATTCATAGTGACTGTAGGACAGAGTAGAAATTCCCCACAGGGTTTCCAAGGCCAGAGATCTTTAGGGACACAGACTGCCACATCTTTCTCCCATGGAACAGCTGGTGGATTTGAACTGCTGACCTTTTAGTTAGTAGCTGGGTGCTCAAACTGCTCCACCAGAGCTCTTTCTGCCAAGTGTAGCGACTTAAAATAACCTGATAGCATTCTTTTCATACCAGTTAAAGCTCTGGATCCTAAAAGCAAATATAGCTGTCTACAGTATTTTGTAGTATTCTGTTTATGGCCTCTTTACACAAAAGGTTCTGAAAGAGTTGGTTGTATTATGTGTAAATGTAATACTTAACTAGACGGTGTACATATGGTTCTACCTGTTACTCATTTTCTGTGGAAATCACTGTTTCCTGGATGTTAAATAATATGTACATGTTTATATCTGTCTGGGCAGATAGTTGATTACTTGTATCCTAATACTATCGAGAAAAGGTAACTTGTATGTGGAGTCCCTGGGTGGCATGAAAGGTTAAGCACTCTACTGTAGCTGTTTGAATCCAACCCACGGTGCCTCAGAAAACAGGTCTGACATTTTGCTTCCCAAAAGTCACAGCCTTGAAAACCCGTGGAGCACTTCTACTCTGAGGATGTGGGGTCGTCATGAATCAGAATCAATGTGATGGCAGCTAACGTCATCATCTTGGATTTAGTAAGCTCTCAGGTGATGCTGATGCTAGTGCCCTGGGCTAGCCACTGCTCTGATGAAGGCTGGAAGTGAGTTGTCAGTGAAACCTGTCCCCATCATATTCACCTGCCAAGAAGCCCAGATATAGGGTTGGCCCATTTTTCCTACATGAGGCCACATGCTCATCAGGCCTTGTGGGCTATTGGGTCTATGGCAAGTATTCACCTCCACCCAATTAGTAGTGTGAAAGCAGCCAGACAGTGCCTATACTGATGGGTGTGGCTGTGTTTTCATAAAATTTTCAATACCTGGCTGGAGTTGGTTCACTGGGTATAGTTTGCCCACTCCTCGATTCACATACCAGTTGTGCCTCATCCTTAAATAGGAACCTCAGATTGTTGCCTAATAAATAAATGTCTTCACTTCAGGTGTTCATTAGGTCAGCTGCAGGAGTTCGAAAACTTTTGGTGGAGTCAGTGTCCTTATCCTAAATTTTGTTTGGAGTGTACAGGGTCTCTTTTTTCCCCACTGTGTTTATTTATAATGGACCTATGAGACTGATATGTATAATCGTAGATTGTAATGACATCAGAATAACTTGGTAAGTAAAGTTAGAAATTCACTTCTGAAAGAATGAATGACTTAATGGCTTTA